ACCCCAGAGTCATATCCATCCGGACGATCGTCCTCACCAGCGGGCTCCTGTTCCCCAACGTCAGCCACGGGGTCCACTACATCAAGGGCCATATCCCCTTGCTCCCCCAAATCAGCACCTTCTTCACCAGGGACCGTCACAATAACAACATTTTGGGCCTCCCCGGCCTGAACAGTTCCCACGGTAGGGGCTGAGCCAGAACTTCCGGAGGTGCTAGTTTCGCCCGAAGAGCGTGAACCGGAGTCGGAAGAGGAGTCTGAGGAGGAACCCGATGAACCCGAACCAGAACTTGACAAGATCTCCATCGAAGCCATCTCGGCGAGAATACAAGACAAGAGAAAGAAGCAGAGGATGAAAATTACCTTAAAAGGGGATTGGCCGGACTCGGAAGCAGGAGGAGACGCGAAGAGCAGCGGTAATGCGGGAGCAGGAGAGCAGAAATTGGGAACCCTAGTCCAGAGGGAAAACCCGGCATTTATAGGAGGTACACCGATGGGGGGACCAACGAGGGGCGGACACGTGGCAAGGAGCGTATTCCGGCTCACGCGCTGTGCGTGGGGCGAAAGCGTAATGATGACATTTCCTCGGAAAATGCACCGCCGCTACAGCAGCCGTCACCTCGTTTCCTGAACCGTCGACAGCTGTTAAGCACCATGACCACGAGCGTACGCTTCCACCAGATGCAATAAAACACAAGTATCAAGACACGAACGTCTACTTCGAGGGACTTCATACTTCTTTATGTCCTGCGCATGCTCAGAACATCAGAAGTGGGGGACTTGTGTTGGGTTAATGGCCCAACACCGAGGTCCGGCCCATTAACCCCTTTCTACCAGACGCATGACCAGTTAGGACACCAGGATTAGCCGCAGGCCCATGTTCTTTGGAAAGGGACGAACATCTTGTGTTGAGGGGTTTTTAGGCTCAATGGCCCATCGCGACGAACGTCTGTGAGGGGACAAGGAGCAGAGTCACGGGCCATCAAGGATGGCGACGAACGTCTCCTGAGCAGGCCAATGATCGTCGGAGGAAATCCAGTCCACATGGAGAGAATCCACAAGGCCAGGAGACGAACAGCCGAAACCTCTTGAGGATCGCTTGGAGCGACCCAGCTCGCTCCCAGGCGGGCGAACGTCCCCATTATTTAGGCGGGAAACCAAGATTCTGGCGGGAAGTGCATTTAATGCAGAAGATTTGGTGGTTGGGACACAAGCGGTCCACAGGCCTCCACGTCAGCATAGCCACCTGCCCATTGGCGGGTATAAATAGAAGCATTTATTTCATTGTAAAGGGTTGACAACTTTCTATTCTTAGCACTCTAGCTATAGCATTCTTACTCGCAGCACTTCTACTGCCTTGTAAGACGAACGGCCGACGGAGCCTTAGCGAAAAGTATTGTATTAGGGAGTTATTAAGAGATAATAATACCTAATCATTTACTTGTTACCTTACCGTTTCTTGACCCTTGTTATCTGCTTGTTGGGCTAGTTTATTCACACACACACCATTCGAAACCCTTGGGCTTACGTGTTGGGTCTGAAGGTTGAAGGAATAAACCTCAACAATTAATAAAATAAAGAAAAAACTATACGAAAAATAACTAAAATGTTCCTCTACTGCAACTTCAGTCAATATAGCCATAAAAATAACTTCAACCTTACTTTTTCTTATTATTACAAAATTTAGGAAAATAAGCCAAAAAAAACAAGGTCACCAAATGGGATCTAAGATTGAAGTTTTCTATCTGGTAATCGATGACCGGACCAAATCAGACCTAAATAGACTAGGCGAGATTACAAAATTTCTGTCACTCTAAAAACATCCCAAGTCATGTGATAAGAATATGAAAATTTCAAGGATGTTTATAACTGGGTTGAAAATTTTTAGATCCGATCAGTTTATGTATGAAATTTTCTAGTCTCGACTGGCCTGAATTGGACGGTAAATATTTGTTCTATGTGTATTTTACAATTGTCAAATTATAAATACGATAATTATTGTTATTTTTTGGATTTTTTATACACACACATTAACATGTGTGAATGATAGAATCGTCACATCTAATCAAATAACTTAATTATTTGATTATAAATAATTCTTATTAAATAAATAAAATTCTTATAAAAAATAGAAAAGTTCCATTAAAATAGAAAACTCCTTAAGAAATTACATATATCAATATAATTACATTAATGTGTTAATATATTATTTTTTTCTGTTTATATTTGTTGTTGCATATATCAAAACGAGAAAGTTGTTTGTAGTCTTTTTTCTTATGTTGTAACATTATATTAATTATTGCTTAAATTTCAATTAAGAACTACACTTTAGTCGTCTAATAATTGTTTCCAGTCCCAATTTTATGCTAAAATTGGTAGGCCCGAGAAGACACTATGAGATTATAATTTGACAGTTGTTAAATACACATAGAACAAACATCTACCGTCTAATTCAGGACAGACAAGACTAGAAATTTCAAACTTAAAGTGATCGGATCTGAAAAATTTCATCCCAGTTATAAACATCCTTGAAACTTTCATATTCTTATCACATGACTTGGGATGTTTTTAGAGTGACTGAAATTTTCTAATCTCGCTTAGTCTGTTTAGGTCTGAAATTTTCTTATCACATCCTTGAAAAAAAGTATTTTAAATATGATTTTCATGAAGAAGCAGAAACGACTAATTCAGTCACTTCGGCTAAAATTCATTAATTTCAGCAGAATCAGTCAATTTAGCCAATTTTACTATTATCAAACGGACTCCTAGCCTGTTATTACATTTGTGGGAAATTTACATTTTTATACTTTTATAAAAGTTTTTTAGGAAAGAATAATGCCATTTGCCAAAAAACAAAGAACAACTCCATATAATTTTCATACTTTAAATATTTTTGTGTTAAAAATATCATTTGTCAATATAACCTTTAAACAAAGAATAAAATTTTATACTTTATCCATGTTTGAAAACTCTAACATTGAAAACCTATGAAGCACGGATACTTCCCTAGGGTAGCGTATCGGCGTATCCGATACGTTCCCGTATCCGATACTCTAGGATACCCGTACCGTACGTTCTCGGGCCGTATCTGCAATTTTTAAAAGTTTCCATTTTTTTTGTAATTTTTTGAAAGTTTCCGATACTCGTATCCGGACGGATACCCGTATCAACCTTTTTTAAAAAACAAATCCCAAAATTTACTTAATAAAATTCAAAAAAAAAAATAAATGAAAATCCTAAACTACATTTTACTTGGTAATCAAATAATGGGCCTATATGACTATAACCAAATTAAGTCATTAACTCATACTCCGAATTGGGTACTTGCAATTTTAATTTCAAAATTGTAGTTGTTTGACTTATTTCTCATTTTAAATTAATGACTTATTGACTACATTTATATTTCGAGATGCACTAGTGTTTATGAGAAATATTATGAATTTATTATTAATTATCTTGAAAAAGGAAAATGCTTCAATGCAATGAATGGGTAGATATCATAGGATATTATATGTATATATATATAGACAAAAGTTCATGTCCGGAATTCCGGACAGGAATCGCCGTCCGGACGGCGGCGTTTGGCCGCCTTCCCGGTGGAATTTTTTGATGAAATTTTTATGGAATGTTCTCCATCAAGTCTAGTTTATCCACAAAAAAATTCAGCCAAAAACTCATTCCGGAAGGTCATCAAATGATTTTTGCAAGTTAACTGGTCCGGAAAATACATATTCCAGACCAGTTAACTTGCAAAAATCATTTGACGACCTTCCCGATTGAGTTTTTGGCTGAATGTTTTTGTGGATAAACTAGACTTGATGGAGAACATGTCATAAAAATTTCATTGAAACATTCCACTCGGAAGGCGGCCAAACGTCGCCGTCCGGACGGCGGTTCCTGTCCGGAATTCCGGACATGAACTTTTGTCTATATATATATATATATATATATATATATATATATATATATATATATATATACATATAATATCCTATGATATCTACCCATTCATTGCATTGAAGCATTTTCCTTTTTCAAGATACTTGGTAATAAATTCATAATATTTCTCATAAACACTAGTGCATCTCGAAATATAAATATGATTAAAATAAAATATGGTTTATAAAAATAGGATTAGTTACTGGAGTAGTAATGAAATCATAGTAATTCATGTTCAAGTTTTGAACTTAAGTTACTACAACACTATGTTGTAGTAATGAATAGTAATTTTTATGTAAATAAGTTTGATTTTAGTAATATTCCCGTAAAAAAAATTACATGATTGCAGTAAATTCAGCTCATTCAACTAATTTTTTCATGACAATAGTCTCCAGCTTTAAATCTTTTTTTTTTTCAAACGTAATCTTAATCATTTCAATCTCTTAATGATTGTAGTAAATTCAGCTCATTCAACTAATTTCATTATTATCAAACAGACTCAAATAGTGTTAGCATTGTATGCATTACATTTTGGATAGTTAAGTACTTAATACTCCCTCCGTCCCCTTTTAAATGTCTCAGAAGAGGGTGACACAAGTTTTAAGAAAAGTGAGTTTGTGTGATTGATATTAATTGATAAAGTAAGAATAAAGTAAGAATGATTTTGAGCCACACAAACTTTACCAAATTAGGTATGAGACAATTAAATAGGGACATCCCAATATGGTAAAAATGTACATTGAATAATTATTTGGGAGAAAATTGAGACAGTTGTATGGTTCAAACAATCATTTTGAGACAAAAAAATTTGATTGGATGACATTTAAGTAAGGACAAATAAAGTACTGTAGGTAGGAAATGTACATTTTTTAAATTTAGTTTTCTAGTTCTCTTTATACGGAGTAAAATAGTGAATGTGAACCAGCAGAAAAATAAAGCATCTTTCTTCCTGTCCTTTCACCTATTAGTCAATTGATTTGGTAATCGCTTTCATGATTGATATTAATTTCCGTAAGCCTTCTTGTCTCCTTCCTTAATCCTTCCTTCGTTAATCGTTATGAATTTTTTGTCATTTCAATTCAACCCTCCGCCCTTTAAAACTAACCCACTTCTCTTGCTTTTTTATCGTCTAAACATAGCCCTTTTCTTTTCCTCGCCTTCAATCCAATCATAATAATCTCCACAAATCTGTTCCAGCGAATCCATCTTTTCCAGATCCATGGCGGAAGAGCACGGATTTCAAGCATCGGAGGGGCACCGTTTATGCGCCAATAATTGTGGGTTCTCCGGCAGCTCCGCCACCCAGAATTACTGCCCCAAATGTTACCGAGATATCTTCCTTAAACAGCAGGACCAAACGAAACCCACGAATTCGGCCGATTCAATATTACCGGCGCAGGTTTCTCAACCATCCATCTCTCCATCTCCGTCAGGACCACCGGCGAAGATAGCGGCGGCGTCGGCGGCGGAGGCGGAGGTGCAGCTGCCGGCGAACAGGTGTTCGACGTGCCGGAAAAGAGTCGGGCTTACTGGGTTTAGGTGCAGGTGTGGGGTCACCTTTTGCGGGAGCCACCGGTACCCGGAGATGCACGGCTGCACCTTCGATTTCAAGGCCGCCGGAAGGGAAGCCATCGCCAAGGCCAATCCTCTGATCAAAGCGCTGAAGGTGGAGAAGATATGATCCCGGTCTCTCTCAGCCGCTGTGATGGCTACCAGTTTCTCGAAATGAACGGCCATGATTGAATATGACTGGGTCAAAAGTCGAAACCGCCATGGAAAAAGTAAAGAAGAAGAAAGAAAAAGAGTCGTGTAATGACACGTCAAGACGCGTGGCGGTCTAAATTTATTTCCACGGTCGTTTCATTTGATTATTTTTGTTTCATTTTTTATTTTTCTATGCTGCCTGTAAGTTGTAACATTATTATTAGTCTTGGCCTGTATAAAAAATGTAAGATTTTTACTTCTGGTATGTAAAAAAGCTCAAAACGAAATTGCAAAAAACCGGAAAAGTGCAATGCATATGCCCAAGTTGTGCAAGTTCATGAACTTTGAGAAATGGATTGTCATACACAATCACAAAAAGTAAAAAAGAAAGTCACTTATTCACGATGGGTAGGAAGAAGCAAGTATCAATTTGAGCATCTTAGCTAAACTTTCCGTTTCCGCTTTAGAAAATACACATCACAATTATCCTTAATGATTTTGTTATACGGAGTATCAAATATTCATAAAAAAATATATCAAAAATACTCGTCGTAATATATTTGAATTACCTCATTTAGTTACAGTTTAAATGAGTTTTTGCCACTTTTGGTCCCCCAACTTTCGCGTAAGTGACACTTTTGGTACTCAACTTTCAATTATTCCATTTTTATTCCTAACTATTGTGTGATAGACATTTTTAGTCCCCGACTTTAAAGTTTTCCACATTTAGTCCCTTAAGTATTATCAAATTGACACTTTTAGTCTTTTCACTATGATTTTGACACAATAAATGGAGGACTAAAAATGTCACTCTTATATTAGTTGAAAGACCAAAAGTGTCACCTTTATGAAAGTTGGAGGACTAAATATGGAAAGTTTCAAAGACGGAGACCAAAAGTGTCTTTCGCACAATAGTCGAAGGACTAAAAGTGGAAAAGATCAAAGTCAAGTACCAAAAGTGTCAGTGACATAATAGTCGGAGGACTAAAAATGGCAAAAACTCCAGTTTAAATAATTGTGTCATTTTTTAATGAAAAGCTTAAGTCGGGACATAGGAAAAGCTGAAAACCTGACATAATAATTGTGTCATTTTTTAATGAAAAGCTTAAATAAAAGTGTCATTTTTCATTTTTTAATGAAAAGCAACAAAATTTTAGAGCTCGTTTGGTGACTCTGTTTTTCGTTTTATCAGGTTTATCAGTTAACTTTTCACCAAATAAATAACTTTTGATTTTGTGTGCTGGATTATGTAATAATACGAAAAAATAAGAAGACTGGGTATATGTAGATGAACATTTTAACTGTTTTTTCATATGGTTTTTTATTTACTTTACTAATAAGATATATTTTAAATATTTTTTCTCAATCAATAAAATCAGTCAATCCACTCACTTCAATTAGAAGTTCATAATTCAAGCAAATTCAAACAATACAATGGATATAGGTCTTTAAAGCATCCACTATAGGGAGGTCATTGGGAATCAAAAAAGAAATTGATCTCATTTGATCCTTACTATGAGAGCTCATGAATTGATCGATCAAAATGCAAGATTGAAAATGAGAGCTGTTTAGTTTTAACTAACCAATTATAGAAAGCCAAATGACTTTTTACTTTGAAGCAAGAGTGGCTTGCGAAAGGAGAAATTCTCCTCCCGATCAAGGTAGTCACCATCCTCATCAACTACCCTCTAACTCCCTATTTTCATTTATTATGCATTAACTTTAATTTGTTGTGAAAAAATTAGGTGAAATTCATACCAATAATATGTACTTTTAGTGGTTCTACAATAATAATCTCTACTGAAAAAGTCAATACAAATAATCCAAACTCCCAAATGTGTCTACATGAATATATTAAATAACCTTCATAGATAGATTATTACCCTTTAAGAAAATAATTATAGTAATGATATACTCCCTCCGTCCCCTTTTAAATGTCTCGTTTTACCATATTGGGATGTCCCTATTTAATTGCCTCATACCTTATTTGGTAAACTTTGTGTGGCTCAAAATCATTCTTACTTTATTCTTACTTTATCAATTAATATTAACCACACAAACTCACTTTTCTTAAAACCCGTGCCACCATCTCCCGTTCCATTTAAAAGGGGACAGAGGGAGTACAAAACACTAAACTCACAGGTATGACAATGGTGAACAAAGTTAATATTGTATCCTTATATATTAAATATAAAAAAGATTAATCTAATCTATCTTGTAGACGTGTTTATGAGTATGGATTATTTATATAGACATCTTTGGTAGGGATTATTTATTTAGAGGAGATTATGTGGAAAAGAGAGGGGATCACATGTCATTAGCTATCTATGCTCTTAATTTTGATTTAATGAGGCGGCAACACTTTTTTAATGAAAGAACGCCTCACCATTTTTCCTTTTAAAAGTCAATGAAGAGTTGCTGAAAGCAATGGGGCAAAAGTTTCCAACCTGGACGGCGCTTATTCCGAATTGGTAGTTGTATTTACTGTAAAGTGCCAAATTATCACGGCATTACCACTCCTTTCTCACGTTTGGCCCTTTTTATGAGATATACTTTGACCATTTTTACACATACGTGCTCCAGTGTGGAGATGTTGACATACTCAATTAATTATCTTGATGAAAATGTGTGTTAGAACCTCTTGTTAATTTGTTATGCATACGAGTTACGTAGTTTAATCTGATTTGAATTTGATTCATTTCGTAATGTCTATTGAATTTGGTCACTTGGTATGATCAGATAGATTATCTGTTTAGCATCAATGTATCATTTCAACATTGCTCTAATAATAAACATATTTTTCGTATAACTCTATAATATATTATCCATGTTATGTAATGTATAAGGATGTTTTCTTTTGGACTGAAAATTGCTGGTCTGGTCTGGTCTAGTCTAGTATGATCTGATCTGGTCTGGTCTGGTAAATGTCTGGTCTCTGTATATTTTATAACTACATAAGTCTGGTCTGGTCTGGTCTGATTTTGTATGGGACTGAAAACAGTCCAAAAGAAAACATCCTAAATAAATACACACTATCCCCCCTAACCCAAGCCCATGAGTACTTGATTGGGTCCATGTATAATGTATTTACCTATATATATCTGTTGGTCCCGTTTGAGTTGGTAATCAGTCTAGAGGGGGGGGGGGGGGGTGAATAGACTGATTCAAGTTTTTCAACTTTTCTCTAAGTCAGAGTTGACTTGTCAAAGAAGGTCGAGTTCTGATGATCAGAACTGGTCTTGCAGCGGATAAGAGTTCCGGGTAGCCTCAAACAAATACTAAGGCAAGTGCCTTTCTGATAACTCTGAGAACAAGATCTGCTGAACACAGATTCCAAGTCTTAGAGTTATACAGTTAAAATCCTAAGTGCAGTATTTAAATTGATGTAAAGTAAATGACACCGGGGTTTTTATAGTGGTTCAAGGAACAACGCGTTCCTCTAGTCCACTGTTCCACTAGCTTTGAAGTAAACGGTTACAAAGCTTAGTCTCTGGCACTTAAGAAGCTCTCCACGTCTTCTTCAAGCCTAGTTGCCACCCAGGATGCAGTTCCACGTCCTGATGGCTGGTCCTTTCACTCAGCTTCCCGGAAGTATCACCACTTCACTACTGCAGTTACTTGGACGCCCTTCTTTGCAGAAGATGTTCTGAAAACAGAGTTTTCTCCAACTTGTTTCGTTGAAGAACAGGATGAACTTTGCTGTGTGTTGGGATTGGAGGATATGGATATTTGAATCTTCCCAACGTAAGCTTGTCTTGTTGATGATTGTGGAGCTTTGAATCTCAAGAGAGCTTTTTGTATGTTAAGGCGAGCAAAAGTTGTAGCCAAGTTCTTTTCTTGTGTCTTCAGTGTGTAGCTTATATACTGGGGTTGTCTGTCCGTTGGAGGAGGAGACAACTGCATTAAATGCACGTACTGTTGACTTGACCCACTAATTTGGAAGCTTTCTATTTTTATAATATATCTTCCAGATTTCTCGGTCAATCATTTGCAATCAATCCAAAGTATATCAGGCTCATTTAATGAGCATTAAATGCTTTCCTTGGACGGAATATCTTCTAGCCGTTGATGAATTTCCCAGCCGTTGGAAGTAGCCTTGAAATTCTTCTAAGTGTTAGTCTGACTCTGATCGGAGTCTTCTGATACATTGGGTTCTGATGGCTTTCTGATGAGTAGTTCTGATGTAGTTTCAAGTCGAGCTCTGGTGTGGGAACTCTGATGCTTGACTGATGTTGAGCTCTGATGAGGCTATACATCGAACTCTGATGCTTCTCTGATGAGCAACTCTCATGACTTCCTGAGAGCAACTCTGAAAGCAGTTCTCATAGAGTATTTCTTATCAGATCCATAAGAGAGCAACTCTGATCGTCGACTACACTAATACTTACAATTGAAAATTCTAATACATAAAATCTAATTGGGGTACATTAAAATTCTAATCTAATTATCCTAGCATCATCAAAATCTAATTACATTTATTCCTTACAATATCCCCTACTCTCCCCTATTTATGCACACTCTTAATCATATTATAATTGACCAAAGTGGAACGATGCAATTGATGTTGAATTACAATCGCTAGAAAAGCGAGAAGTTTTTGGACCTGTCGTTAAAACAACAGAAGATGTTGAACCAGTGGATCATAAATGGGTCTTTGTGTGTATTGCGTAAAAGAAATGAAAAGGGTGCAATTATTACATCTAAAGCTCGTTAGTTGCACAAGAATTTTCACAAAGACTCCATATTGATCATGGTCAGACATATTCGGATCTCCTGTGGCGGATGATACTACTTTTCGATACTTAATAAGTCTGGAAATACGTGAAGGGCTGGATTTACGCCTCATGGATGTAGTAACAACCTATTTATACAGCTCACTTGATATTGATGAGTGTGTGTGCGCGTGTGTGAAACTTTCGGAAGGTTTACAGTTGCTTGAAGCATGCAATAGAGTTTCTCGAGAACAGTATTCTATTATACTAAACAAATCTTTATATGGTTTAAAACAATCAGAGCGTATGTGGTACAATCGCCTAAGTCAGTACTTATTAAAAGAAGGGTATAAAAATAATGATATATGCTCATACATTTTTATTAAGAGATATGGTCAGGAGTTTGTAATCATTGTAGTATATATTGATGATCTAAATATTATTGGAACTCCAGAACAACCACAAAAGGTAGTTGAATGTTTGAAAAGGAAATTTGAAATGAAGGATTTTGGAAACACCAAATATTGTCTTGGTCTACAAATTGATCATTTAAATAATGGTATCCTTGTGCATCAAACAACCAATATAGAGAAGTGTAATTCAGATACTTAGTCGAGAA